TGAGCAATATGAGGCGTAATCTGAGCAACAATCAGAATGTTTAACGCAGTATTCGTCACAGTAACATATAGATCCATCGGCAGAATCCGATTTTCTCTCTAAGTACCTGTAGTTTACTTCGTTTGATTTTTCATCAAATTTCTCTCGCCCGTCCTCACCACTTTCATAATCGACAACATACGGGATCTCCTTGTTTATGATCTGTATTCTAAAGCATCGTTATGACATAAATAAAGTTACTGGTATTGTTACTCCCATTTAAAATAACGTAAGTGCTTTCCTAATTGTACCAAAATCGCCACAAAATTCATTGGAGATATTTACGACTTACTCCGCAGACTTGACACCATTATTATATTCAATAATAGGCTCCGATTTTTCTTTTGAGACAGTTTCTGGTCCAAAACGAAACTGAATTGGCGTTTTATTTCCTTTCGGTATCATTTGAATGATAAAGTCAGGTCCACTTTTGTCGTGCTCTAAATAAGTGATTATAATTTTTTTGTGAGTTTAGTTTCCTTTCCTAAATTTTTTTTGCCTGATCAACATTAAATTTTGACGCAACACTGCTATAACTTAAAAAATTACGTTTTCCTTCCATTGATACATCTCGACGTCGTGATGAGGTACTAGTTCCGGAGGCGCGAAAACTGCTGCTTTCAGATGAGGTACAGTTGTCGTTTTTTCCAGTACAACATAATCTCTTCTGATAACAACCACCTGAGACTTCTCTAACACCCAATATACTAAGAATCCAAATTAGTATAAGAAAAGTCACCGTTTTCATTTTTGGTCATCTTTCAGCGATCAATTTGATTTGCTTCATTCTCTGCAATATCTAAGACACGTCTGCTCACTGACTGATTCTCAAGGAAAAAAAAATCACTGCTAACTAAAAGAACATAAAGAGAACACATAATTTACACATGATTGTGTCATTTTAACTTTTAGAATATAGTTTTTATAAAGACGGTAGGTTTTAGCAGCCTTTTTCCTAGCTTAAAAATTTGAATATAGATAAAACTTACTTGAGATTTCTATTTCAAATACGACTTTGATGTGTCAGATGTGACGCTTAATATTAAATCGGAGTTCTAATAGTAGATTGAAGCTGCAAAATGTTAAAATCACTGTAGCTATTGACAAGCAGTTGTCTGTACGTTCAAAGAAAAACAGTAAAAAGAAGGAAAGTTCAAGACTCTGATTAATTTTCGGACAACAAGAACGACCAACACTGTTACGCTGATTATTTATCTTTTAATTTTCAAATAATAAGTTTGAAAAACAAATTCTTAGTAAACTTTAAATTCTGTAGCGATTCAAAGCAGTAGATATAAAAAATTATCTTAACAGAATAGTTAATTTTTCACAATTAACCACAGAAGAATATTTTGTTTGGTACAGGTAGTAATGCTGTTTTTTGTTCAGTTTGTCAAAAGTTCAGTTTTGTTTGTCAAAAATTTTTTTATTAGGTTTACCGATTAATAGAGTGTAAAATTCTTTGCTGTAAAAAAAAAAAATCTGAACAGCTTTTCTGTTATAATCCGAAAAAAAAACTACTTTTTCATATTTTTTGTAACCGTTTTTTTGCAAGGTACAATTGAAATACGACATAATAAATAACACAGTATTTTTAATTCTAAATTTTTAATTTTTTTGTTGAGAAAACAGGCAGATGATTATTAGAAAACAAATAATAAAAGTTTAGTGTCGTTATCACCTATAAGTTTTCTTTTTGCAGAAAACAAATACAGAGAAATGATGACAAGAGAAGGAAGAAAAAAGACAAGCATAATGAAGTGTAGTATAAAAACTGTTGAATGGATACTATAGCAGCAGCAACAAAGTAGGGTGTATTATTAATCCAAAAAAATAATAGTAAATTTTATCTTCTTACACCTTAAAATCTGTTAACGGAAACCTTATGTGAACGACTCTTTTATGTCATCACTTCAAGGCTCATTCATTTTCTTCTTTATGTGACAGCATCACAGGAAAAAATTGTTATTTTGTCGATTGCAAAAATAAAAAAAAAAAAAA